GGAGATGCAGTGTCACAAAAGATTGCCATAAGAATGAAAGGAGAAATAAATAGAAGCTTCCCGGCAGCAAAACTCATAACAGTATACAACACCACTCCTTCTATAATCCACTCAAAACTGGATAAATACCCTGCTGATGTCACCTCCAACTGCGTTTATGAATTTACGTGCACTTACGGGAGCAAGTACATTGGAAGGACAGAGAGAAGGACTTCTATCCGGTTTTCTGAACATATTCCAAGAAACCTATGCCTGGAAGGAAGCAAATATTCTCAGAGTGCAATTACCAGACATATTGTGGAGATTTCTAAGTCCTTCAAAATATTAAATAGACAAAGGACAGTAAATTTACTACGATTTGCCGAAGCGATAGAAATCAAACGATTTAAATCGGACTTATGCATACAGAAGGAGAGTGTGATCAACCTCCCACTCCCTTGGTAACTGAATTTTGATTTTGATTACAATAATTAGTCATCTGATTCAGTGATCTCAACTCACTGAACAAATCTTAATCTCATAAACTGTAACCGCTTTTGTTTTTTGGAGTTGCTATGTGAACCTACAAGCTAACACTGTTTCTGTTAATCAATTTTTCTGTTTTCTGTCTTACCCCTCCCCCCCTCTTTTCAACTTTGAATTGATGATGATAACTTAAACTAAAAATTGTAATGCTCTCATTCATTTTTTTGGATGCGTCAATTACTACTACTCAAACATTAAAGTATGTTATTATCATTTATATAACCATTGTAATTTCAGGTAGTGGTGTGCAGCTGATGAGAACCTGTGAAATAGAATGATACCATTTTAAATTGCAAATTTCCTCTTCCTTTCTTTATCGAAATTTATCAAGGGAAACAAATGTATGAAACATACGGTTTAGTTTATCTCCGTTAAACCAAGATTTGGAAAAGCATAAGTGTTCCAGTGACAAACAAACTTTAAAACACAAGTACACATTGACTTACGGCCAGTTTTCGAAACTTGCTTTGATTGACTTCAATTCTTTGACTAATTGCATATTCAGCCTCTTGACAACTTCCAGTAAAGCGTAAATCTAAGTGAATTAAAGTTAAATTTCTATCCATTCCATCTTGTAGTTTTCTACTTCCAATCTAAAAAAATGTTTTTTTTAAAGAAAAAACACGAAACTTATTGAATCATTTAATGAAATGCTTTATGTGACCAGTGGAAAAATTTCATCACATTTCAATGCCTATAATAATAAGCATAGTCTTTTGGATAATGATTTGTTAAACCAATGTAAATGGATAACAGAAGGAGAAAATGAGTGCAATAATAATAATTATTATTTGCTTTATTCCAAAAGCAGTACTTGTGATACAGAATGGAATTCTCAGCATTTTTTTACTACAGTATTGCATCCAGTTTGTGTACATTACCAATAAGTAGAATTCTACATAGATTAAGGGAATCTCAGTTCATTATGACAACAACATTTTGGCATGTCGGTAGCAAAGCCAAAGCTGAACAGTGTTTGAAGGTGTTAGAAAATTAGGTGCTATCATACTTACTGGCGGAAGCGAGAGAAAGAAACAAAGCCGCACGTAACGGGAAAAAAAGAGAGAGAGAAAAGGAAAAGAAAGCAAGAAAATCTTGTACCTATAAATGGTATGAGTTGGGAAGACGAGGTTCAGTTGTTCTACTGACTATTTAATAAGTTATAGGTGTCACGCCTAATGCTTTCTTTATCACACAGAACACGAGCTAAGTAGGGTATGGTTCAGTTTCTGTACTTGCTGGTGCGAGCATATAGTTTTCTATATAGGCTTCTGGTTTTACCTGATGAGATCCAAGGGGAGAGTTGTGAGTGAAGAGAGTGATGTGAGTTAGATAAAATGGACTTGGCCCATTTCTCACATGAGTCCATGTGCCTGTCGACCAGAATATTAACATTGATATAAGAATAAAACTTGTGCACTGTGGTAGAGTGTAAGTCCATTATGGGTAAATTTTATTTTGACAAAGTCTCACAGTGTTATACAGTAATGTTTATTGATGACGTTTCGAGCACAATTTATTGCTCATAATCATATCCATATTAACAAGCTGGTTAAGTGGCACGTTGCTTACCCTGCTGACAACCTTTAACATCCTGCGTAATAAGGTTTAGTCTTTCTTCAGTAGCCCGGGAAAAACTAAGGGGGAACAATAGAGTATAATAGGCAGAATGAGAGAGTTAACGAATTGTAGGAGTAAGGATTGGGTAATACCAGAATGTTTTAACTTCTTGATGTTGAAGGTAAAACGGAATATTTTCTGAGAAATCGCCAAGATATCAGACGACCAGGAGAGATCAGCAGATAGAATGGCGCCTAGGTATTCAATTTCCGACTTGGTTTCCATTTCAGTGCCATCTATGTTGCATACCTCGTGAGAGCCAAACAGTTTATTTAGGTCGGATTTATGCCTAAAGGTGAAGTTGACTGTTTGGCATTTGGAGGGGTTTAAGGTAAGACCGTTTTCCTTGGACCACTGGCTGATTTCTGACAGAAAGCCATTAAGTTTAGAGCAGCCACTTTGACATTTGACAGGCAAAGAGACAGTCAGATCGTTAGCATATTTGACAAAATTAATGTCATTTAAAGGTGGTAAGTCATGTAGAAAGAAAGAAAAGAGAAGTGGGGAGAGTACAGCACCTTGGGGGACACCAGCTTCAGTGAGCGCAACAGAGGAGGATTTACCTTTGTATACGGTGTACTGCTTTCTGTTAGAGAAGTAGGAATGCAGCCAGCTAGTGACCCAGGGCTCAATTTTTGTCATAGAGAGCTTATTTAGCAAGAGACATACGCCACACTGCACTGAATAAAGCGAGAAGTGAAGAAGAGTGCTAGAAAAGACAAGCGACAACTCTACGACACACTGGCCGGCGACTGAAGCAGAACAGGCAGGCCGCAGGCAAAAGAGACATCAAGAAACTGCATCAGATAACCATGTCTCTATCCGGGAAGAGATCAACCCAGACGACGAAACCAATAAAAGATGCTCAGGGGAACCTGATTACCAAGGAGAAGAAACAAATAAAACAAAGGGTTGATACCTTTAAAGGACCACCACCGGCAAATTGCCCAGAAATACACCACCACCACCACCAATAGCACACATGGGACACCGCGCCAGTGGACACCACTCCTCAGACGAAAGAAGAAATCCTGAATGCGATCAAACTACTGAAGTCCAGGAAGGCAGCAGGACCAGACGGCATCCCTCCCGAAGCACTGAAGACGGCTCCAGAGACTACGGCAGATATTCTCATTCCATTACTGCAAAACGTTTGGGAAGAAGGAAAGATGACTACTGTTTGGAAAAAGCCTGGCTACCTTGTCAAGTTGCCAAAGAAGGGCGACCTTGGGCTGTGGAAGAACTGGCGTGGAATAATGCTCTTGTCTACATCAAGTAAAATACTAAGTCGCATCATCCTGGAGAGAATAAAGGATGCATTGAATACAGAACTCCGCCACCCACCGGAACAGGCTTGATTCAGGAAAGGCAGGCAAATCATGTGCTCATCAAATTGCAACTCTACGCATCATCATCAAACAAAGCGTAGAATGGCAGTCAAACCTATCTCCTATCCCAACTTCATCGACTTCAAAAAAGCCTTCGACAGACAGCGTTTACCGAGAAGTAATCTGGAAACCACTTCAACACCACGGCTTAACTCAAGCCTTTGTCAACCTCATTCAACAGTTATATGACAATGTCACGTGTCCGGTGATCAACGGCGGAAAACTCAGCAAGGTATCTGAAGTAAACACAGGAGTAAGAGAAGGCCAACTGAATTTGAGGAGCCGTGGGCCTAGGTTATTAGGACCGCAGGAAAAAGAACAAAGTGGAGACGTGTTGTTGAAGCCGTTTGTTCCACTTGGGGCCATATGTACCGTTAGCAACACAATTAAAAGTTCGAATATTAACTGTCTTATATTCATATTTCTTGTTGCGTTTTTCTGCTCTAGGTTGAAGGGATGCTGGTGTTATATACCTTGTGCATACAATAGTTGATGTGATTTTTAGACTGTTAGCAGATGAAGAGGAGTCGAGAAAAGAAAAGGTGAGCCCATCTTGTCTTGCAGATACATGCTATCAAACAGATCACATATTATGGTTTGAACAGATTCGGTTTCCGAAAGAAACCGGTGGATTTTCACCTACAGTTGTGTTTCTTACAACCCGTGAATTTGTTTTAATACCACACAAAAAATTGGCCTCCGAAAATGTCTTTGAATCTCAACATATGGATATAGCATAAACCTAAAAGGGTCAATCAGATCCAGTTTCATTTTGTCAAGAAACACCAATGAACTAAAATTGAGTAATTCACCGAAACTGAAAAAATCAAACTATTGATTTTTTTTGCCTCCCCCAACGAGCTTTGAACCCCCCCCCCCGCGACAAAGCAAGCTCGTAGACCAATCAGCCACTGGGAACCAAATTAGTGGCCAGTCCATAAATTCTAATTTCTACCGATTCATGCTTTATCTCCGAAACCAACCAAAAGCATCGGTGAGTATTTGTCATCACTCCCAACCGGTGGATACCGAATGGTTAGATTATCGACGGCATGATGTCACCCTAACCTATAATACAGTACATACACGAACATATTTGTTCTAAAGTGTTTGAATAACTTAATAATTTGTCTTTTACTGTCACTCGATGAATGTCGTCTCATAAGGTTAGCTATCATCTGCCAATATCCTGATTAGGTAATTTCCTTTCCCGTTAGCAGAATGAAAGTTTAGCTTATGAGGTTAAGTGACATGACAGTTATCCAGGAAAATGAGCGCTCTAATGACCTTGAAGCCGCCATTCAGAATTTTTGTAGGTAATAACACATCATCATCGAACAAAGCATGGAATGGCAATCAAATCTCTACCTCAACTTTATAGACTTTGAGAAGGCCTTCGACATCGTCGACCGCGAAGTAATTTGGAAACTACTCGAGTACTGTGGCGCACCCAAAATATTCATCAACCTCATTCAACAGCTGTACGACAACGACACATGTCAAGTGATCCACAACGGAAAACTCAGCCAGGCGTTTCGAGTAAACACAGGTTTCAGACAAGGGTGCTTATTATCACCAATGATATTCCTAATTGTGGTGGACTGGATTATGCTTCGTCAGACAGTGGGAAACGAGAAGACAGGGATATCCTGGACCGACGTGAAGCACCTAGAAGACCTGGACTTCGCGCGTGGATGATTTATGTTTGATGTCACACAAAATCGAAGACTTACAAGCGAAAACAGACAAACTGGTCGAAGAGGCTGGCAGCAAAGACAGGACTCCAGGTGAACATAGACAACACGGAGGTTATGAAAATAACCAACCAACAACCGCCAATCACCATCAATGGCAGGCATTTGAAAGAGGTTACTTCTTTCACTTCTCTAGGGAGCATTGTCTCAACTACAGGAGGAACGCACGAGGATGTCAAATCAAGCGAGAATCGGGAAGGTGAGAAACACATTCATCAACCTGAAACCAATCTGGAAATCTTCCCCCGTCACTCAGCCTGCATCAACAACAAAATTCGAATTTTCAATACAAACGTCAAATCAGTCATTTCTTCTATACGGATCAGAAACTTGGCAGCGTGTCACAAAGAATATTTCCAACAGCCTGTTTCAGACCTTTATCAACAGCTGTCTTCGCTGGCTCTATACTGAAGATCAGATGGCAAGAAAGAATCACCAACTAGAAACTATGAGAACAAACAAAACAAGAACCAATCGCTCAACAAATATGTAGGAGAATGTGGAGATGGATTGGACACTCACTGGCTGAGGAGTCCGTTGGGTGACATCGCGCGTCAGGCCAGTGCATGAGTGGAACCCGAAATGGAAGCGGCGAGTGGGACGTCCAAGGGTGACATGGGGGAGATCGTGTGAAGAGGATTTGAAACAGTATGGATTAACATGTATGCATGTGAAAAGTACAGCAGAAGACAGAAGCAAGTGGAGACGTGTAGTTGGAGCTGTATGTTTCACTAGCAAACCAAGGGAACAATAATGATAACACAGTCGCGGTGAAAAGCAACACGTTGTTAGAGCAAGCATCAACGATAGGGCTTCCTTCAGGTGAACATAGAGAAAACAGGGGTGATGAAGATTCCTGGCCAACACCAACAGCCACAGCAACAGCAACAACAACAACAGACAACAATCAGTTAGCATAAATTGGGGGTAATCTGAAAGAAGTGACCTCCTTTACCACCCACACTGAGAGGCGTCGTTTCAACTTCAGGCGGACGGAACTGACGAGGATATCAAAGCAAGGATCGGGAAAGCAAGGCAAGCTTTCATTACTCTCAAGTCTGTGTGGGGATCAACAGCACTCAGCGCGAAATATGAGATCCAGATTCTTAACCCGAATGTGAAGTCAGTCCTACTCACTATACGGATCAGAGACTTGGCGCCGCGACATGAAGACCACTTCGAACAACACCTGTTTTCAATCAATATTCAAAATCAGATGGCCGACCAGAAAAGACCAGCAACAAGGAGTGACCTCTGGGAGCGAACCAACTCAGCAAAAACCGATTGTGCCACAAATAATCAGGAAGAAACTGAGGTGGATTGATCATACCCTGAGAAAACAATCCATCAAGTGACATCACACGTCAGGCAGTCTCTCTAGTGGAAGGCGAATGGGAAATGACGAGTTGGTCGTCAGTGCGAGGGTGATATTGAGGAGGTCATGCGAAGAGGAAATAAAAGCATATGGGCAGACATGGAGCCTGGTGATGAAAACGTTGGCAGAGAACCGAACACAATGGAGACATGCGGCTGAAGCCCTATGTTTCTCTAGGAACTAAAGGAAACAATAATAATATTATAACAATGCAGTTATATAACAGAGAAATCGGTTATATCTGTAATGACAAATACTGTTCAGGACTAACAGAATGAATTTAATCCGGAAAACATGCTTAAAAATGTCCATCTAACTTCAAACACTTAACTCTAAAGTTAGGCAGTAAAATCTCATCAATACTTACCACACCTATTTGATTATTCGATAAATCCAAATGAGTCAGTGTACTGTTGTGTGAAAGAACATGCGCAAAATAACCAGCGGTATTTTCCTGTAAATCATTCACAGCTAAATTTAACTCTTTCAAAATTGAATTATGAATTAAAGCCTGAATAAATAAGGAGTAGAAAATAAAAGAAAAAGAAAGAAAGTGTATCATTTAAGCGTAAAGGATTCATCAATGGTCAACGAATTTATAATTGGACAATTTCAACGGAAATAACTGAAGACAATTCCAAGAGTAAATTATCGTTAATGTGACATACTACTGAGAAAAGAAAGTCTTGAGAATCGTTTATGTGCATGTTGGCTCTCATCAGCTTGAAGATATTAATGTCTTGTTGACAAGTAGCGACATGTACAAATCCTAGATTCAGGGATTCCTCTAACTGTGGAAGGGACTGGGTGAAAAGACCTTTGTTAAGGAAAAACACAACATATTTATATTTTCTTAGCCACATTAACATCCAGCTTGGTCAGAGAAGAATAATTTGTACTGATTGGTTGGTTACTCGCCCAAGGTTAAACAAGTTGTCCAATAAGGTTATTTCATGACCATAATGTCAATTAAATTTACATTTGAGGTATTATACACTTCTACCTCTGCAGTCATTGGCTCAAAATGTTGATTGCAGCTTTGCTTGCTTCTTGTCAGTCTTCATCATGCCAAACAATGATGAATTACCTAGCTTTGTGACCATACTTCAAACTCGACTGATGGAATTCAGTCATCAACAACATTAACGACTGTATGTATAATGTTCCTTACTCCCTAATGACCACCAATCAGGTGACAGTGACAAGTCACTCAGGCAGAACGACTGCAATGATGATCTGGGTAGCAGCTGAGCCGGGAGAGTGACAGTCTAGTAGCTAGAAGGCTGCTGATTTGAATCTTACCATCATCACTCCTCATTACACAGGAAGTGAAATAAGCAGGAGTCTCATTTTGAAACTGCCTGACCACTGTGATATCAAAGAAAACTGTTTTTTTTTCGGTTAAAAGTGTTACCACCTCAAGAACCAAGCAAGCAGCACAGCACAATTGTAGTTGGTGCGTCTACTTGACAGACGCTACTGGTAAACACTTCTGACCAACAAAAGAAACTTATTCTCAATACATTTTGAGGCTATTGAAACACTTAAAGATGGATTTATTGAAGTTCTAACAAAATTTCACACAGAATGAGATTCTCAGTGATACTGGCATCACGGGTAACGATTGTAAATAATGAGCTGTGTAATTTCTATCTCAATGCTCAGTAGTTAGTAGTCTATGCCATGACCGATGAATACCGTCTAAATGACAGTGAGCGAGTTTATCTCACTAATGAAAATGCCCATGTTAATTTTGCTTGGTTTTTTCCATGTAATTCATAGGAAAGAATCTTAATAAAGCAAAAATTAGGGTGGCATTCAAACCTATAAACTCAATCAAGTAGAACAAGCTGTGTAGGCTGAAGGACCCGGTGAAATCAATTAAACAAAATAATATAACTTACAAAGTACCTTGCAATGACTGTCAGTGTGGTCAACTGCATAGGTCAGTCAGACCAGTAGATCGGTAGTAATCAGATTGTCGGAACATAAGAATTAAGCTAAGGTAAGAATGGTTGGCTCCACTCGCGAAGATATGTAATTTAGAAAAAACTCAGCATTAGCACTGCATGCATTAACACACAATCACACCATAAGGCGGGAGAAGGTTAAAATTCTAAGTAGTAACATAAGTAGGTGGAGAGAGAGATTGATTACTGAATCCTGACTGGTTCATCGAGTCTACACCCAACACAACACATGCAACAGAAATGACTCAATGCAAATACTACAGATATGGAAGATATTATTACCACCAGTCAGTCAAATCAGAGGAGGATAATAAATAGTCTCAAAATTCTATTTCAATTCACGTACATCACAACATTCCAAAAAGTTACTCATTTATTTCGACTATAAAAACACTCGTCTTATTTCCCATATGATAGTAATTGATCAGTAACACTCATATTATTATTTCTGAGTGTACATGGTCCCATATTGATTTTATTCAAATATCTAATCATCAGTTTCACTCATGTATATGAATGAAGGAAAAAGTTGTGTGAGTGAGTGACTTGATATGATTATGAGTGGCAATAGTTTGTGCTTGAAAAGTGGTCATCAGTTAATATTACTTACTGTATAACAAACACTGTGTGTGATTTATCAAAATAAAATTTTATCCATAATGGAATAATCCTGTTTTCTCCAGCTAGCTTTAGCCGGCTCTATAATTGCCCTTCAGTTATCACCTTCTTGCATGATCTCCACCATGTCCTCCTCATACTCACGCTGAACTCTTTTTGTTCTCGATATGCGTTCCACTTAAGTGTCCGGTGCGCGATGTCATTCAACGGTCTCTTTAGTGTGTGTGTGTGTTTGTGCTCTATCCACCTCCATTTCCTTCGACATACTCACTGTTTGGGCAATAAATTCTTGGTTGATTCGTCACCAGAATTCGTTGTTGTTTATACTTTCTGGCCGTGTTATCTTCAGCGTGATATGAAGGCAGCTACTGATGAAAATCTGCAGTCTGTTGCAAAGGTCTTTAGTGGAATGCCAATTCTGTTAACCATTTAGAAACATTGGTTTAACGTTGGTGTCGAAAATCTGAATCTTGCCCTTTACGTTGACTGCAGTAGATTTTCCTACCGATTTCTCAATGATGAAGGTTTGCTTTGTCCTTCCGATTCTGGTTCTGAAATCCTCACTCGTGCTGCCTGTAGTTGAAACGACGCCTTTTAGACAAGTGGAAATCATCTACGAAATGCATATCTTCTAGTGTCTTCTTGCTCTCCACGTAAGGTGTGTCTCATAATCCAGTCCACCATAATCTTGAATGTCACCGCTGATAGTAGTCAGCCTTGTCTTACTCATGTGTTCACTTCTGAGGCTTCGTTGAGTTTTCCGTATTGGATCACTTGACATGTGGCATCAACATACATCGGTTGAATGAGATATTTGAAAGTTTGGGGCACCGCACTCCGTAGTGTTGAATCAGTCTCCAAATTACTTCGCGTTTAACTCTGTAGAAGGTCTTCCCAAAGTTAATGAAGCTGAGGTAGAGATTTGACTGCTATTCTGTGCTTTCTTCGATGATGAAGATGATGCGTAGAAGCGCTATTTAATCCATATATGATTCGCGTTTCTTGAATGCAGCTTATTCCGGGCGGAGTTTTACGTCTAAACTATCTTATATTCTCTCCAGACTGACACTACTTGGATCTCGGGATTCCTGCGAAATTGTAGATCCGAAAATTGAATAAATATATGTATGAATTTCGCCCAGTTTATTGGCGGATTCTTCAAGAGAATAAAACAGTTCTAGAATCATATCCATTTTTCTGTGTAGATATCGCTTGCTGTGCATACAGTATGAACTAACGATCATTCCTAGCTTGATAACGTAACGTTCTCCAAGTCCAACAAAAAAAGCCGGCAATATTAAATTACAATAATTACTTTATTGTTCGAAAATTAAATAAATTTTAAACCATGTCCACAGAAGACAAACAACTCACTTTTGCCAAAGCCACTCCTCCTTCATCTTGTATCCGATTTAATCGTAAATTTAATTTAATCAATAGACATTCTGGTCTGGCCAGGGCATAGGCTAAAGCCAATCCACTATTCGACTTCAAACGATTATTAGTTAAATTCAAAGAATTAATACGACTCTTGCCAGCTACCAGTTTACTCAATGCACGAGTACCACGATAACCAATAAAGTTATGCGATAAGTCTAAGCACTCCAGTGTTGGATGATGTTGTAAATGTGTAGCTAGAGTACGACATTGTTCAGAATTGACATGACTACTGGATAAGTATTTCAGAAAAGAAAAGAAAAAGAAAAAGAATTCTTACTCTCATTGGTAATAATGAACCATTTCTATGATCAAACGTTTCCATTGAATAAACAGAATGAACGTAAGCTGTTTTTCTAGTTATCAACATTGTTTTTTAGTTGAGATCAAAGTCTACTGGCACATTCATACATCTGACTTTAGAAAGACATGTCCATGGAACATTTCAATATATTAGTTTGTATTATTATTGCTTCCTTTAGTTCCTAGAAAAACATAGGGGTTCCGTTCACTTCTCCGCCAACGTCTGCCCACATTCTTTCATCTCCTCTTCATATTACCTCCTCCATGTCACCCTCGCAGTGATGATTAACTTGCTGCTTCCCATTCGGGTTCCACTCGAGTGATGGCCTTACGTGTAATGTCACTTGATGGATTGTTTTCTCAGAGTTTGGCCAATCTACACCCATTTCTTCCTGCATATTTGTACAGGTATCGGTTCAATAACCTAACGGAAATTTACACACCTTCAGAGTTGGTAGTCTAATACTAAATGTTTCATGTTTCCATACATGTGTTTCGGTACAAAGTTCTAAACTAAAACGAAGCAGTAAAGATCTTGGAAAAAAATAATTCTCACTGATTTTTCAGTAGTGTGTATTTAATTTGATTGGACACTAGTCAGTAACTAGTGTAATGTGTCTAGTCCTATCTTCGGTGCAGACTGAATTCTATCAGTCAGGTTTTCAATGTGGACACTATGCCAATAGGTGGCTCACCATCACGGGCACATTGATTTGATGGTGTTAGATGGTTGGAAGTAATCGGCAGGAAGCCTTGCTTGACCTAGGTTTCGTGCTGGTTGGCACTCATCAGTCAGGAAGGCGTGTCGGCAACCTCGAATGAAATCATGTCTCTTATGAGATTAAAAACCCGCGTCACCCAGACACATTGCACTAGTTACTGACTAGTATCCAATCAAAAATATTCAGCACAGTCCTACAGGAGGTCAGTCGAGAGCCTGAATAGCTCAGTGGTGATGTCTCTGACTGAAGCACTGGGTGACAACGCTGGTTAGAGAAACATTGGAAAACCACCTGAGATTACTCAACAACTGTTTCGTCCTAGTGCTTGAGACTCTTCATCAGTACGCATCCACCTCCAGGACCTTCTGGCCTCAAGGTCTAAGAGCTGAAGAGTCCCAAAACTAGGACGAAATAGCTGTCCAGTACTTCCGGGTTTTCCAATGGTTCTCCAAATGATGTCGGCCCCTGATGAAACCATCCAACTAAGCCTACTGTTATTACTACTATTATTAATATAGTTATTATTCTCACTTTATACTTTTCACATTTTTCAGATTATTCCTACCGTAAGTGTGGAGACTTTCCTGTGGTTAATTTTATTTATATTCTAAGTAAATTCAATGAGATAGTGTGACGAATGCTGAGAACTACACACTGTATTGTAAGCACTGCTTTTGGAATAAAGTAGATTATTATTATTAATAATCCAAAGGCTTTGGTTCATTGTATCCAAAGGACCTCAATTAGACGGTTTAGACTTTACTGAAAAATCAAAGATTTGCCGGATTGATGTCGTACTTTTGATGTAACCATCCCTGACTACTCTGCAACCTAATCATATGTCAGCTAACCTGGTTCATTAAGGAAAGTGATAGCTTGGCATACAAAGAAAGTTTCCAAGCCATCTTCAACTTCAAGACCTTAGGGACTGATTTTCCCTCTTTAGCTGATACTTTACGCCTAATCTTTTTATTAGCGACTATATAATACTAATTTCGTTGCCTTCTGTTCAACTGCTTACAGGGCAAAAACATTATTAAATGTATCTACAAAAACAATTTAACATACTTGCACAGAGTTCATTTTAAACAAAAATCAATCGATCAATACACGCACACACTAATAATATATATATATACATATGAAATATGAAATACAATTCGGAACAATAATAATCATACACAATGAAAACTTTCCAGCATTTCGTATTCGGATGAAAGAGAGATGAAAAATATCCAGCTACCAGGGCAAAGAAAGAATGATAACCGCTTCTTCCTGGACGCATAAATCAGGTTTCAGGCGCTTGATGTAAATGACTTCAGCAAACTTGAGGAGAATTGAACTCTTTCGCCTATTGATAATTTTGAACGACTTTTTGACGTCCACCTCATGACCCGTGTCGAGGAGATGCCTGGCGATGGCACTGTTTAATGCATTTGCTCCCTTTAGACATAAGCTTTTTGGTACATGTTCAGAAAATCGTAGATATGCCCTTCTTTCTGTCCTTCCAATGTAACTGCTCCCGCAGATACATGTAAATTTGTATATACAGTTGGAGTTAACATGAGAAGGATATTTATGGATTTTTGATTGCACCAGAGAGCAAGTTGTTCGATAGACGGGAACGAGCTTAGCTGCAGGATAGGTTGTGGCTAGTGATGTACTCAGCCTTCTGTTGATCATTGCTGCAATGTTTTCACCTTTACAATCAAGCTGAATATAGATTGGCTTTTTTCTTACTGTGATTTGTTTTACATTTGTGACTTCAGATCTTCCATACTTGTTGATGAACCTTTGAGGGTAACCATTGCTCTTCAATATCTTTTCAAGAACTTCTAATTCTTCCTGTAATTTCTCTATAGAGCATATTCTCCTTGCTCTATAGTACAGAGTCTTGACTAGACCACGTTTAAACCTATTTGGACAAAAGCTATTAAAATGTAGGTATTGTCCTTTCCAAGTAGGCTTTCGATAAATTGACTTTTGAAAACTACCGTCTTCTAGGCGTTACATGGCAATGTCGGATAGTGAAATTTTCCAACACTTTCATGTTCCATAGTAAAGCCAATATTGCTGTGTGCATCACTGAATAATCTGAGTAAGTATGAAGCATGACTTTCATTGTTGCACACTATAAATGTCTCATCTATATATCGACAGTAGTAAGTTGTTTCGTCGAATGCATGCTTCAACTTTGTTCTTATATAAATAAACGAATGGGGTGGCAATGGGATCACCAATATCCTCAAAATTAGCAGACATATTTATGGAAAGTTGGTAACCCGTTTAATCCTGCTACTAGGTTATGGTTACAATATGTGGATGACATATTCACTGTGTCGAAATCTCAACATATCTCTCATATTTTCACACATATAAACTCAACAGTAGACGAAATCCAGTTAACTTCTGACTCAAAAAATAAACGGGACGAGTTAGCCGTGCTTAAGTGTAGAATAAAACGAAAACAAGATGGTGGGTGGTTAGATACTAGCTGGCATTTATAGGAAATCGACACACTCTAATAATTACTAAACTTTAATTCCTCATATCGGGAACCGGTAAAGCGGGTTGAGTTAAATGTCTGTGACGTTGGACGTGATTAGCTGTTTATGTGTTTTCACATCCCCTAGGCTACTTGTTTTGGAACTGATTGTTTCCTTCACCTGAAGTTTGACCTTTTGTGTGTGAGATTTCTTTCTTATCGGTTGGTAAGCTTTGACTATCTCGAGTGTCTGTTGATTGACGATTCACTGGAATATCAGGAGGGCTTCTAGAAATTCTTTAGCCTAGACGGTGTGAAAACACACAAAACAACCAATCACGTTCAAGGTCACACCCCATCAGGAGAGATGACTAATAAACTCGTGGGGAAATCTAAAAGCTCACTTCAACAAATTGAAGTATGCGTGCGTGTCTAGTGGGACAATGAAAGCTTCGCAGCTCAGAGAACACAACCCCATCAAAATCATCCACCTGAGCTACAAATCTAAATTGTGAAACTGTGTGACTAAATTGATTTGTTTATGAGTAGCAGCAGAAGCATTGAAAATGGACCCAGAGACAACAGTAGGCTTGATGACGCCTCTACTGGAGAAGGTGTGGAAAGAAGGCAAAGTACCCAAGGATTGGAAGAAAGGATACTTATTCAAACTACCAAAGAAAAGAGACCTAAGTCAATGCAAGAACTGGCGCGGAATTATGCTTCCGTCCATGCCCAGCAAAATACTAAGCCACATCATCCTGGAGAGAATCAAACATGCCAACCTGGATCAAAAACTTCGACCGGAACAGGCTGGATTCAGGAGAAACAAGTCATGCATTGGTCAGATCGCCACATTACGGATCATCATTGAACAAAGCCTGGAATGGCAGTCACCTCTCTATCTCAACTTCATCGACTTTGAAAAGGCATTGGACAGCGTCGATCGAGAGGTGATTTGGAAACTACTACGCTACTATGGGGTGCCACCGACAATTATACATCTCATCCAACAGCTGTACGACAATGCTGCATGGTAAGTAATCCACAACGGGAAACTGGCGGAATCCTTCGAAGTAAGGACAGGAGTAAGACAGGTTGGCTGCCTACTATCGCCAATGATTTTCCTGATTGCAGTAGACTGGATAATGCGGCAAACAGCGGCGGGCAATGAGGAAACAGGCATAAAATGGACTCACACAAAGAACTTGGAGGACCTGGACTTCGCCGATGATATATGTTTGATTTCACACAAACTGGAAGAAATGCAAGTGAAAAGCAACAAGTTGGCACAAGAAGCATCAAAGATAGGCCTACACTTCAGGTGAACATAGAGAAAACAGAGACGATGAAGTTTCCCTGACAAGAACAACAACAACAGAAAACAATCAGCATAAATGGAAGGAACCTGAAAGAAACAACCTCCTTTACCTACTTGGGAAGCATCGTTTCAACTACCGGTGGACGGAACTGACGAGGATATCAAAGCAAGAATCAGAAAAGCAAGACAAGCTTTCACTACTCTCGTCAAGTCTGTGTGGAGGTCAACAACACTCAGCATCAAAAATAAGGTCGGGATTTTCAACTCCAATATGAAGTCAGTACTACTATACGGATCAGAGACTTGCACTGCGCGTCATAAAGAGCATCTCAAACAAACTACACATCTTCATTAACTGTTGTCTTCGCTCAAGATCAGATGGCCGGCCAGAAAAGATCAGCAACAGGGATCTCTGGAAATGAGCGAACCGACCCAGTAGGAACCGATTGTGAAACAAATAGGCAGGAAGAAATGGAGATGGATTGGCTGGCCAAACTCTGAGGAAACAATCCATCAAGTGACTGACATCACTAGACAAGCCATTGCTCGAGTGGAACCCTACCGATTGGGAAGCGGCGAGTTGGTCGTCAGTGCAAGGGTGACTTGGAGGAAGTGATGTGAAGAGGAGATGAAGGTGTGTGGGCAGACTTGGAGCCAGGTGAAAACTCTAGCAGAGAACGGAACGCAGTGGAGACGCACGGCTGAAGCCCTATGTTCCTCTAGGAATTAAAGGAAACAATAATAAATAATAATGAGTAGCAGTAGTTTATGCTCGATATCTTGTCATCCAGTTGTTTACACTGCATCGTTACTGTGTGATATTTAAAATATAATTTATCTAATATGGAATAACATTCTCAACCTCAGTGAGCACGTTCTACACTCACATTTATATATACGTTGATATCTTGCTTTTTGACCTTACCTTCAAGTGGGCGCACTAACTTGTAGAAGTCAAAATAATCATGTGGCGTGTGTGCTACTGATAAGATTTATCAGTAGTGTATGAGAAAAGTGATGTTAATCAACATAAAAATATCAAATAGCAGAGGGATAGTTTCGACGTCAGAGGGAGCAAATGATCCAGCGTCGAGGCAAAATATGGAAGACACGAAAAGAAGACAAAAAAACACAATACGAAGGAAGGGCAGAAGTAGCACAACACGGGAGATCTGTGAAAATGACGATTTTTGCTAATAGAGAGATGCCAGATTCCAAAGAAACATTCCTTTATCAAGTCTCTTTCTTGTCTTCTAGCGTGACAATCATACACAATAACTTCCATAAATTTGGCCTAAATCAAATGCTGTTCAATCTAATATTCTAGCGGTTAATTCTCATAACTGACTTATATATTTATATATAGAATCTTACAATTTAAATGAACAAAAACAGTTTGATTAAACCAACTAACTTTGTTAAACTAAGCACTTTCAAATTTGAATGTTGTTGTACAGCTTTAGATAAATTTAAACAATCATGTATTGTAAATTGAAACAATGACCATTCAAAATTCATTCCACAATCTTTTACTGAATAAGTTAAGCTTAATTCTTGTAGATTTGTCAATGTTTTCAGCACTGGCGTTAAATCTAGATGATCAGTTTGTTGTAGTGCAGTGGCATTGTCTGATTCACTTTCTGTGCCTGAATCGCCATCCTAGAAGAAATACAAGAAAGAAGTATTAGAATTCAATGAAAGATTTGTCAAAGGCGTATAGTTTATAAAACACAAAATAATTGAGCAAAGAATATCCTTTTCGATAATTTCCTCCTTTTCTGGCTCTACAATTATATGCATGTATATATGTTTATTTACGTAGAATATTCTAGATTAGTAGTCAATAACAATAACGAAAAGACTCTAGTATTTCATTTCTAGACGTCCTTATGCCCGGAAAAGAGGACGGCGCAATAAGCAGAAGTGCATACAGAAAACCTACATCAACGGATCAGTATAATCACTTTTTTAGCTTCGTGCCCTTCAAATACATTCGCAATCTGATAAAGTGCTTGGTTCACAGAGCAATAGCAATCTGCTCAGATGAATGTCTTGATGAGGAACTCAATAATATTAAATGGTTGCTGAGTGAAAACGGTTATCCAGAAAAGTGTATTGATTAGAATATGAATCTAAAATCAAAGCAGCCCCAAGGTACCAACAGTTCTTAGAAAGGCCTTGTTCTTACAAATGCGTCGGTGGCATAGCGGTTAGGACGCTCGCCGATCATGCACATGGTCCGGGGTTTGATCCCCGGTCGACGCACTCCTTTACCTCGCCAAGCAAGAAATAATGATGGAGAAGAGGGAAGGTTGGGCATGAGGCTAGCAACTCCATCCTGTAAAATAAACACTGCTAAAGAAACTTCAAGCCACTAGCTTGAGGCCCTATGTTCCACTGGGGAACGTGAAGGAAAAAATATATATAATATAATATATACTTACAAATGCAGTTCCTTGGGGACAACATCAGCGAGATACTAACAAAGCTTCTTAGAAACGCGGTAAAAAGAGCGTTCCCTGCTGCTGAATTACTCTCAGTCTTCAAAACCACCCCCAGTTTTGCGTTTGAGAGTAAAAGACAAACTGTCTAATTTCGCCTCTTCCATGTGTATCTAGCAGTTTAACTGCTCCTGTGCAGTGAGCCAGTTAGTTTCATAGGCCGAACAATTAGGCGCGTTTCTCGTCTCGGATTTCCGAACATCACCATGTCTGGTTAAGTAAAGGAGAAACAAAATCTATTCGCAGCGCTATTCTATATCATCTTGAGGATACGAAACACAAGACTGATGTAAACCATGCTTTCGAGGTCATTTACCACATACCAACTAATGTCAATTTCGCCTCGATTAATAAATATTGCTGAGGATGATGGGATCTACAACAAGAAGCCTAATTTATGCCTCCAAAAGAAGCTAGTTCAGACATTATCTTTACCTTGGCCATGTAGGTTCAAATGATACTGAAATTTTGTAGAAATTTCCCTAATTTTAGTTGATATTCTATTTCCTATTATATCTTTATTATTATTATTATTTAAGCATCTATAGTGAACTGTAATTCCATCAAGACCTTACTTAACAAATCGATATTATTTAAAAAACCACCAATATTGTTAATGACGACTATTCTAGAATATTCTATGTATATAAACACACACATGTATATAATTGTGGAGCCAGAAGATGAGGAAATCATCGAAAAGGATATTCTCTGCTCAATTATTTTGTCTTTTTAAAGATGTCTGAATGAATATTTTCGTTATATTGAAAGGCATAGTTTGTTTAGCTGAAGTTATTCAGTACAGCGAAAATATTCATTTAGACATCTAGAAAAAATCTTAAAAAATCCAGTAAAGAATATCCTTTTCGATTATTTCCTCTTCTGGCTCTACATTTATATAGATATATATGTTTATATTCAAAGAACATTCCAGAATAGTTGTCAATAACAATATTGGCGTTTTTAAATAACATCGATTTGTTAAGTAAGGTCACAGTAGAATTACAGTTCATTAAAGATGCTTAAATTATAAAATAAGCATAAAAATGTAATAGTAAATAGAATATCAACTAAAATTAAGGAAATTTCTACAACCAATTAAAGATCATTCGAACCTTGATCACCAATGTAAGGACAGTGTCTGAACCAGCTTCTTTTGGATACATAAGTAAGGTTTCTCAATGTGAATCCCAACGGTCTCAACATTATTTAGTAGACGAACTCTTTAGGTGAAGTTAAGATTAGTTAGTATGCGGTAAATGACTTTGAAAGCCTTTTTAACATCAATCTTGTATTCTGTATCCACAGGATAAGTTAGAATAGAGCTATGGATAGATGTTTTTCTCCTTTACTTAACCACTGTGCAGGGTGATGTTTGGAAATTAGACATAAACACGCCTAACTGTACGGTCTATGAAGTCATTCACTTTGAAAATTATCAACGATATGCCTTAAATTCGATTTCAGGAGCGCATAAATATTTCCAATTTATAAATTCAAAATCTGAAGCAAACTGTGTAATGTTTTTCAATTTTCTTAATGTATTTTGTCCTAATAAAGATTACACCTGATCTCATCAGTCTTGTTTTCTTCATTACCGGTCGTGGTGAATAGTAGTCTTTAATTTGTCTCACTGATTTGTGTTCAACCTGCTGATCTGAAGTGTCACCAGCGTGTTAGAAATATACGTGTTTTTGATGTGGTTGTTTTCACTGAACGAGGCAGTGTAACTGCAAGGCTTTCATGGTCTTTCCAGCAAACACTGTTCAGCCCTTAATTCACCTCTGTTCAGAGAACAAAATTTTATTTTAGAAAATCCATCTGAGTCACAAATTTTATCGATTACTTCACTTGATAAGAGTGCACTGATTTCTTATATATTCCCGTCTGATTGATTGATGTTTTCTATCTCCCCCTATGTAGCTCAAACAGACAGTGAAAGACAATATGAATTGATGCCAGGTTTCTTTTCATCACCTCCAAATATTTCCACTAAAGTAATCCTGTGTCACCTAACATTTCTCCGTGAGGAAGGAGGTGGCACAGGATGCAAAACATTTATCCCAGCTATCTTGATCGATGGAACTTTCCAACCTCATCGATGGGTTTTCGCTGCATAATATCTAACAGCCATAGAGAAGTAAGTACTGAATGAGCTGCTACCCAGTGCACATGTTATTTTGGATTCGATCTTAGATTTCTTCAGTATTCAGTTCATTATAGCTGATGTAACTTCCTAAATAACTGAAGTGGAATCGATGCAGACTAGTCTGGAATGAAATATGAAACCAACTATGCAATAAATTTATCCAGAGTGGTATTTAGTGAAATACCTTACCTCAGAAATATTCTACACATTTAATTAACACTTAATAAAGTTTATACTTGATGAAGGAGCTTTGAATGTAACTGTATAGGAATGACCTCAACAAATAATTTGTTCTACGAATAAAAATGGTAGACGTTTAATTGGTGTATGGTAACTGGCACTGGAATCCATCAAAACGCGCATTTTGTCCTATTTGGCACTCGTCAACTGGATGTGCCTGCATTCCTCAGTGAGTGGTGATGTTTCCACTGGAGCTCGAACCCAGTGCCCATAATTTCAAACGCCAAAGCGTTATCCACTAGGCCACTTGGGCGACGACAGCACATCCAGACGACTAGTCCCAAATAGGACGAAGCGCGCATCCTGGGTTCCACTGCTAGTCACCATCCACCAATTAAATTCTGATTACATGCCCAGATGTCGTCGAAGCATCTGCACAAAAAAAACCGACAAACATGTCAACCTGAGGTGGAGCACTTCGGTCCAATCAATCTACAGGAAAAAAACTAAAATTTTATTTTTTTTAAATGGTAAACGGCTTATTTTTTGAAATTTCAATCATATACTCCATGATTTTGAAATATGTTACATCCTATCAGCTGACTCCTTGGCCACTGAGGGCGGAAGACATGAAAAGATTAGCTGTCTTTGATCATAGGTGTCTGCGTTCTATCTCCCGCGTGAAGTGGTATAATAAGGTGAGCAATATTGAGGTTAGGCCTCGGTCGAGTGCTAGGTAAGGAGAGAAAATCAGTCGACGAGACTGTGAAATTACATCGACTGAGATGGTTAGGACATGTGTTACGTATGCCTAGTCATCGCTTTCCTCGACAATGGGCAATGTTAGCTGATATAGGTTCAGGCTGGAAAAGAGAGAGCGGCGGTCAAACCAAAACATGCCATCAGTCAATGAAATCTACAACACTTAGTTTCAGCCACGTAGGAAGGTGTAGACTTCCTGACTGGTTGGGGTCCTCGGGACGGTAAAAACCAATGGTTGGAAACAATTGGTGACATGGCTCAAAATCGTTCTCAATGGCTGGTGCAGATGCATCCACTCCTTGTGACTTATGATTTCCAAAGAAACTGTTTTGTTCTTCGTTATTACTATACCTTTGTCTCACATCACTATTTACTGTCTATATTATGCATTTCTCCTACTTTCTTCTCTTGCTTTGTGTGCTACATGAAGTGTGGCGACTTGAACTGGCGCACATATGTGTAAAGTTGTATGTCGAAAACAGACAGACAGACAGACAGACAGACCTTGATGATGAGATTATGGGAATTTTCTCTCAGATTTTCTTGGCTGCATTTGGTCCTTCTTCTTGAGTGTTTTAGCGTGTGCATTATTAAAACCATGGGGAGAAAATTCAATATCATCACGCTCTGGCTGGTTGTTTGTCACAACAACTGATTGGTGCTAATCATTGCATTAGGTGATAGAGGGGAATTTCATCTTTAGCCAGCCCATTGTCTTTTAGGTATACACCACTGAAAAGTTTTAAACTAGAAAGCATCCGTCTTTCATTGTTTTTGGTTGTGTTTTTTTATTTTGTGATTTCAATATTTTCCTAAATGAATTTCGTTGTGCAACAGAAACTCTTCATTTAAAATAGAAATCACCCCGACAAAGGTACAAGATAACTAGAAGAACGGATTCATTATTACACGCCAGTATGTTATCTGCATGTAACGTGTATTATATTCACCATTTGTGAAGATCAGAAGGAGAAGGAAAACGAGGAAAGATAAGAAAGTACTGCAGTTTAAGAAAGGCACTGCAGAGACGATTCAGAGAAACCCATAAAACTAGTTAAGGACCACTGTTTTTTCCTAGTATGGAACTCTTCAGTAGTACGAACTTTTGGTTTTCAACGGTTGTCTAACTAAAGTCACTTTGTGACTAAACTTGAAATCAAAAATAATATAGTGTGCAAAATATACGATTAACTATGTAGGCCGAACGTCTAGATCACTCGAAATTCGAGTGAATAAGCATAAGCGTATGATTAAAGATTGACCCAGGGGAAAATAAGCAAACAATATTTTCAAGTATCGGTTTTGTAGGGATTTTGTTCGATTATTTGTTGCAGGATTTCCTCATGAGCTGAAAACAGTTAGAGGACCGTTGGAAAACCAATAGGGAGTACTGGACAGCCAGCTGTTCTGTCCTAGTTTATGACTCTTCATCAGTACGCACCCGCCGCCAGGGTTCAAACCCAGGAGCTTCTCGTTACAACGCGAGATCGTAGGCCATTCAGTAGCCACTGAGAGCCAACTCAATCCAATGGCCAGTCGTTTCATGAATTCTAACTTCTACCAATTCACGAAATAGCGCAACCACTGACAAATTCAATCGGCGGTGAGTATCTGTCCTCACACCCTCCAATCAATCAAACAAAATCGACACAAAACCAATACTTGAAAATCGATCTGATGCTCACTAGCGACTGGCCCTATTCATGTAGGTAGTTCCCTGTGGTTCTAGTGGCCAGCCGTGACCAGTAGGATGCAGCAGGTTGAAAGTGAGGCAGTAACCCATCGAAGAGGATATTTTGAAGTGGTCGCACTATACCATGAATTGACAGAAGTTGGAATTCATGAACTGGCTGGTCATTGGATCGGGTTGGATCCCAGTGGCTACTGAATGGTCTACGAACTCACTAGCCTTGTAACCAGAAGGTGCTGGGTTCGAACCCTGGCGTTAGGTGCGTACTGCACTAGAACGAATCGACTGTCGAGTACTCTCAGGTGGTTTTCCAATGGTTCTCTAAATGATGTCAGCTCATGATGAAATCCCCCAACCAATAAGCAAACAATAGTATGGAAAAATGTTCATCTGTAGTTGCACATATGCCAGATGCAAAATGTAACACTAATCAAGACAACATTTCTACTTTGAAATCCAGTATGGAAAGGAATAAAGAAAGAAAAGTAATTGTAGAATCTATATTCATAAATATCACTGCTAACATATGTGGTAACAAAAGTGAATCACCATAACAACCCTGGAGCATAATTCTGAGTACCAAAAACACATTGGTAAACACATAATAAAAGTACGACATACATATGATTACAGGTCATAAGTGTGTGATAGGTTCCCGCACAAAGTAGTATATATCATCATCTCTCACCCATGTGTTGTGATTAATTATGCGATCAACCATTCCTCAAGGCTGTGAGGCCGACTTTGTTGTTGTAAAGAAAATGTGTAAATACCGTGTGTTGTTTTCCTAATAGTTGTTGTCACTGTGATTACAATATACAGTCACAGGCCAGCAGCCTTTGTCGTTTGATATTTGTGTGGCTCAGTGAATCGGAAGGTACTACAGGCAGATGGGCATATTAGGCGGGCGCAGACAGAACAAAGTGACAACGGTTGCCATTTAGTTTAGTATAAGTTATAACATATTAGCGACGGGGTTATTTCAGTTCACTGCAGTCATAACAAATAAGTGACAACGGTTTTCATTTTGTTCAGTACAGCTATAAAACATTTTCGACTGTGTTAATTAAAATCCACTCCCAACGTATATCTCTCTGGATGATCTCAAATCCATCTTGCAGCATCAGCAGCAAGATCAAAATGAAGCAGCTCAACTAAAGTTAATCGAAGCTCTCACTCACTCAGAAACTCTTCACTCAAGTTCACTCAACATCTCATCCAGACAAATATGAAAGCATCTCAAATTCGATCAGTAAGTTCAACCACGACTGAATATCTGGTCTCGTATTTGGTGCATGCTTCTACCGTTATGAAGACGTTTTCCGTATTGAATGCTCCATGTTTTATGATGCTGCCAAAGTCCGGTTGTTACTTCGAAAACTTGGTTCTGTCGAGTACAACAGATATGTTAATTTCATTCTGCCATTGGAACCCATGTGAGTTATCTTTCGATGAGACAGTCACCGTTTTATCACAAATTTTTGGTGAACAGTCATCTATGTTTAATATTCGGTATCAGTGTTTTCAGTTGATAAGTGCCTTCCGATGATTTTGTCACTTACACTGGCAAAGTGAAAAAGGAATGTGAAAGGTTCAAACCACACGAAATGACTCCCGGATCAGTTCAAGTGTTTGATTTTGATTTATGGTTTGAAGAACCCAGAAGATGCTGACATCAGAATTCGATTTCTGTCACTCATGGGACAAGAGCCGAAAATGACTTCACAAATGGTGATAGCAGAATGCCAACGCTTAATTAACTTGGAGCACGACACTGTTACGGTGGAGTGCAGACCACAATCGTTTGAATTTTGTTCAATTATCACTGTGAAAACTCCTCCGATCATCGTTAAGCACACAGTACGTCAGTCCGAAAATCCAGTTAGACCTCCGTCAGTGTGCTGGTACTGTGGTTCTTTGCATTTTGTCAAGTTTTGTCTATTCAAGAAGCATAAATTACCCCAAATGTCACCGTTTTGGACATAAAGAAGGTTACTGTCCACCACAGAAAAACCCTTCGGTGAAGAACAGACGTAGTCCATTCAAGCCGAAACAGACCATTTTCACAACTTCCAAAGTCGATTTAGCCAGCAAATGCAAGCACATTACGCTATCTATTAACAGAAAACCTATTCGTCTTCAGTTGGACACGACATCCAATGTTACCTTAATTTCCCGAAGCACCTGGGGGAAACTAGGTTACCCACAGATTCTGCCGACATAACATGTCGCTAAGAATGCCCCTGGAGATATACTTAAACTGATGGGTGAGATAAATTGCTATGTTCAGTTTGGTGAGCATCAGTTCATTGGTGTATGTTATCTCACAAACTATCATGAGTTGAATTTGCTTGGTCTTGACTGGTTAGACAAGCTCCATATCTTAAAATATACCATTAAATTCAGTATGCTCTAACGTTTCATCCTCACTAAATAATGTTGTTCCGAGAGATGTATCCGATAGGTCTCTATTGCAACACTCGTGTCAAAAGCATCTCCTAGTCGTTCGGGCAAAGTCTAGTTGCCCTCGAGTCTAGTCAAATATCTTCAACTCTGAAGCCCAGTGACAGACGAGCTTTCCCTCCTAAACGTTCAATTCGTCATCAACCTAAATCCTATGGACAAGGTGAACGCTTCGTCAGTGCCTCTAATCGTGCTTTCAAGAAAGCGGAAGGAGAGGGAGCACTAAGAGATATCTTGGACAGATATTATCTTATTTTATTATTTTATTTTGATTTACAGCTTGATTCCACACCGTATTTTCAGTACAAGTATGGAATTTTCAGCATGGATATCGGTTGCCCAAATTCAGGCATACCATAGATATCGGGTGTGCGCCGGCAGGGGATCGAACCCCGGACCATGTGCATGGTCGGCGAGAGTCCTAACCACTGTGCATTATTAAACAGCAATCAATACTTCTGCCTCAAATAAGTTATCCCCAGCAAGAATTATTTTTGAGCGATAAGAAAAAAAAAATCAAAACTTCTCCAAGCACATTCAAAAGACAGTCCAACACTTTTCATGCCGGGAGGTGATAGGACCCCGCACAAAGTAATATATCATCATCTCTCACCCATGTGTTGTGATTAATTATGCGATCAACCATTCCTCAAGGCTGTGAGGCCGACTTTGTTGTTGTAAAGAAAATGTATAAATACCGTGTGTTGTTTTCCTAATAGTTGTTGTCACTGTGATTACAATATACAGTCACAGGCCAGCAGCCTTTGTCGTTTGATATTTGTGTGGCTCAGTGAATCGGAAGGTACTACAGGCAGATGGGCATATTAGGCGGGCGCAGACAGAACAAGGTGACTATGGTTTTCATTTAGTTCAGTAGCAGTTATAACAGTGTGTGGGTAAATTAAAAGCGTTTCCAACCTTTGAAATGATCTCCCGCTCCCTCCAAAAAAAACCTACTTATCACTCACTGTATGGCACCCATTCAAAAAAAAAAAAAAAAACAAGAATACTGAATGACTATTTATTATACTGTAAAACATTTTAAAAACTGTCAATTCTCAACACTTACTGAATTCTTTTCTTTTTTCTTCTGTTTTAATGGTGGTAATAATTGTTTAATGCATAAGGCATAAACATACGGTGCAGCATAAGTGACATATTCATGTAAACGTGGAGCATAAGTTGTACCTGGTATAAAATTTTCAATTATCTCTTCTAATAAACGTTCAAAATATGCACGTTTCCAAGATCCACCATAATGTGATATATCAACAATGGACCATTTAGCATGACAACATTTCTTCCAATATTTGTCTTCATTGATAATGTATGATGTTACCTTTAGTGGTAAATTAGTTGAAAGGGAGTCTAACACACGATTTTTTTGTTTCTCATTTAAATATTTTATTGACGTTGGATTAACTGTAAACAGAAGAGATGAAATTCATGGTTAGTGAGAGCATAAGTTAATGATATACATATGTATATATATATATATATATATATATATATTAGTATGGAGATAATTTTAGTATTTTTCGATCAAATTGATGTGGCTAACAAATTCTTCTAGTTGATTTGAGCAGCTTGTCTATTTTAGCAGCGTTATTCTTTTGTAATCTGATGAAAAGTTGTATGTTACTAGTTTCATTTATAATTGTCATCCAAATACAGTGACTGACTAAAGGTTTGAATATATGTGTAAAACTTGGGCACTGTGGTAGTAAGTGATTCCATATTATTATTATTATTATTGTTTCCTTTAATTCCTAGAGGAACATAGGGCTTCAGCCATGCGTCTCCACTGCATTCGGTTCTCTGCTACAGTCTTCACCTGGCTCCAAGTCTGCCCACACACCTTCATCTCCTCTTCACATGACCTCCTCCAAGTCACCCTCGCACTGACGACTAACTCGCCGCTTCCCTTTCGGCTTCCACTCGAGCAATGGCATGTCTAGTGATGTCAGTCACTTGATGGCTTGTTTCCTCAGAGTTTGGCCAGCCAATCCATCTCCCTCCATTTCTTCCTGCCTATTTGTTTCACAATCGGTTCCTACTGGGTTGGTTCGCTCATTGCCAGAGATCTCTGTTGCTGATCTTTTCTGGCCGGCTGGCCATCTGATCTTGAGCGAAGACAACTGTTAATGAAGGTGTGTAGTTTGTTTGAGATGCTCTTTATGACGCGCAGTGCAAGTCTTTGATCCGTATGTTAAGTAGCACTGACTGATTTCACATTGGAGTTGAAAATCCGGATCTTATTTTTGATGTTGAGTGCTGTTGACCTCCACACAGACTTGAGAGTAGTGAAAGTTTGTCTTGCTTTTCTGATTCTTGCTTTGACATCCTCGTCAGTTCCGTCCACCTGTAGTTGAAACGATGCTTCCCAGGTAGGTAGGTAGGTGAAGGAGGTTGTTTCTTCCGGGTTCCTTCCATCTATGCTGATTGTTTTCTGTTGTTGTTGCTGTGGCTGTTGGTGTTGGCCAGTAATCTTCATCACCCCTGTTTTCTCTATGTTCACCTGAAGTCCTATGTTTGATGCTTCTTCTGCCAACTTGTTGCTTTTCGCTTTCATATCTTCCAGTTTTTGGGAAATCAGACATATATTATCGGCAAAGTTCAGGTCCTCCAAGTTTTTTGTGTGAGTCCATTTTATGCCTGTTTCCTCACTGCCTGCTGTTTGTTGCATTATCCAGTCTACTGCAATCAGGAAAATCATTGGCGATAGTAGGCAGTTTTGTCTTGCTTGAATAACTTATAACTAATTTTAAGCTTAAATTCGTCACGAAGAAAGCAGAGCACCAAACAACTACTTTTCTACACACTAATAGCTATTAGCATCGCTAACCAATGACATACTTCAATTTATTATATTTCTTAAACAGTGGGATACTCGCTATCACGCCAATAACCTGAAAACTGTCATTTTATTGCCTAGATGCTTCTTACCTTCATGTTGGCAAATTCTATGTAGATGAAAATAGCAACGCAGCAACAAACAACCAAATAGCCGTTCTTCTGGCTGTTTGCATGTTGATGACAACGATGTGAAAACACCTTCTTTAACTTTTTGAGGATGATTTTAAACTAAAAGTGAACAGTGGCGGAATCCAGGATTCGCATTTCATTCTAGTCATCATCCACTAATTGACTTCAAGTTACATGACCAGACATCGTCGAAACATCAGCACAAGCAGCTGACATGTCAACCTGAGAGTGAGAACTTCGGCCCAACCAATCGACAGGAAAATCCAAAATGAATTGAATAATTAATAAGATCCGTTGCACAAGAGGTGGTTCCCCTTGGCCCAAGTGGTCTAGTGGATAACGCTTTGGCGTTTGAAACTATGGGCCCTGGGTTTGAGCCTTGGTGGGAGCACCATCACTCATTGACTGGAGAATGAAGGTGCATCCAGATGACGGGTCCTAAATAGAACGAAATGCGCATCCTAGATTGTACCACTGCTAATCACCATCCACCAATTGACTTCAAATAACAATTATATACTACTTCTAAACTTATTCAGTAAACCATACAAATATTTTTAGAGAAAATATAATGCAATTAGTTCTCTGTATGAATTTCAATGAAACAAGTAAGACGCAATTTATCTGGAAAGTGTAAAAAAAAGTTTTTAAAGAAGAAAGGTAATAGAAACTTACATTCAAAATTTTCTGAACAGTGTTTTAAGCATAAGTCGACTAGTGATGGTACTGTTGTTAAATTATAATTAGGATCTTCAGCTATGATACGACGCATAATTCTACCATCCGATGAACGCTTTTCAAATCGTTCTCTCATTTGTGTAGTTGTTGGATAAGCAGACAGTTCAGTAGACAACGGGAAAGTTGACTGCGTCTTATTTAGTGAACCACTTAGAGCCGTTGCTTTTGATTCATCAATGATTATAGACGCTTCATTTATAGACTGTAAAAAAAACAGAGACCATATCACACATTCACAACAATTCCACTGAAAGTATGGAAATGGTAGGTGGCAATAATATGTGGTTCGTATTCTTATAGATTTATTAGACTAGTGTATCTAATGTTTGATTAGTATTTCAACTAGAAATCCACTCCACGTTTCATCTCTCTAAACTTAATAGCATAAATTGTCAAAATAGCAGCTATCCGTGTGGCAGTTATAGATGTTTTTTTTTTTGACATTTTCTTTAATGTGATTCTGACTTACGTGATCCTTCTCTCAAATAACTATACATGTTCCAGGTTCCTTTCCACGTCTTAAACATTTTCACCGTTGTACATAAATGTAGAGATGTTGTGTCAGAGCTGTTTCTAAACGGAAACTATTTAACTGTTAAGGCAGGCTTAGTTAAGTGTTGAACAAACCGAGCAATGGCACTATGTAGCACAAAAAAAGACCTAAGTGATGAAATAAAACAGGTAGAAAAGGCGTTGGTTTTAAATAACTATCCTCTAAAATTCAGTAGGAAGATCAGTAAAGACCAAAAGCAAAATAAAAATAATTGTGAAACTAGAAGTGATAACATAAATAAGAGAGAATATAAGTCATCTACTGTCATAGCATATAAAGAGGGGACATCTGAGACCCTACGTAGGATTCTAAATAAAGCAGGAATTAGAGTGGCATTTAAACCTACAAACTCACTCAGGTAGGATAAACTCTGTAGGCTGAAAGACGCGGTGGACCCAATTAGACAAATTAATATAATTTCCAAAATACCCTGCAATGACTGTGAGGTCAACTACATAGGTCAAACTAGTAGGTCAGGGGTAGTCAGAATTTAACTAGGGTAAGGACCATGCACATGGTCCGGGGTTCGATTCTCGGCCGACGCACTCCTTTACCTCGCTAAGCCAGAAAGTAAAGCTGGTAAAGAAGAAAGGTTGGGCATGTGGCTAGCAACCCTATCCTGTAAAAAAACACTGCTGCAGAAACTTCAAGCTTGTAGCTTGAAGCCCTACGTTTCACTGGGAACGTGAAGGAATAAAAAAAGAATGGTTGACCCCGAGAAGGTAAGTAATTTAGAAAAAAGCTCGGCAATTGCAATGCATGCATTAACAGTAAAGACCAAAAGCAAAATAAAAATAATTGTGAAACTAGAAGTGATAACATAAATAAGAGAGAATATAAGTCATCTACTGTCATAGCATATAAAGAGGGGACATCTGAGACCCTACGTAGGATTCTAAATAAAGCAGGAATTAGAGTGGCATTTAAACCTACAAACTCACTCAGGTAGGATAAACTCTGTAGGCTGAAAGACGCGGTGGACCCAATTAGACAAATTAATATAATTTCCAAAATACCCTGCAATGACTGTGAGGTCAACTACATAGGTCAAACTAGTAGGTCAGGGGTAGTCAGAATTTAACTAGGGTAAGGACCATGCACATGGTCCGGGGTTCGATTCTCGGCCGACGCACTCCTTTACCTCGCTAAGCCAGAAAGTAAAGCTGGTAAAGAAGAAAGGTTGGGCATGTGGCTAGCAACCCTATCCTGTAAAAAAACACTGCTGCAGAAACTTCAAGCTTGTAGCTTGAAGCCCTACGTTTCACTGGGAACGTGAAGGAATAAAAAAAGAATGGTTGACCCCGAGAAGGTAAGTAATTTAGAAAAAAGCTCGGCAATTGCAATGCATGCATTAACACAGAACCACACAATAGGATGGGAGATGGTTAAAATTCATAAAAGCAATCTAGGTAGGTGGAGAGAGAGAGGTTGATTGCTGAATACTTGTTCATCGAGTGTACACCCAACACAAGCAATAGGAATGACTCATCACTCATACCGGAAATATGGAGAATACTACTACCAATCAAGTCAAGCGATGAAAAATAACGGAATTATATAAATGAAGTTCGAAAGTTGTGTGAGTACCTTGATATGATTATGAGCAATAAATTGTGCTCGAAACGTGGTCATCAGTAAACATTACTGTATAACACTGTGGGACTTTATCAAAACAAATTTTACTCACAATGGAATCATACCCTACCACAGTGCACAAGTTCTTTTCTTATATCAACAGAACAATTTAACCACATTCTATGTGTCTAATTATTTAGGTCTTCTAAACCTAACAATAACCACAATCTTTCCTGAGCCTAATCCAAACGCGTAAATATCTGTAAACCGACTGTACTCTAACTCGAACGAAACCTACTATCACCTTTGTTAGGTTAACCCAACCCTAACTTTTCCTTGACCCAAAGAGTAACTTAATATTTCGCAAAACTAAGCTGAAACTTCCCAGATATCCAATTTAATAGCATAACACTGCTCAGAGGATATTTTATTGATGATCACAAGATTATCTTCCGGATTCCCTAACTTGCTCACTGAGCGTTTCAAGGTCATTAGTGCGGTTGCACTCCATTAGTAGTTGGTGGTGCTTAAAGTTTAACTTCGCCAGAATATGAATATGAAATTAAAATAAGAAGTTAATAGAAATATTTATAACAATATATTTATTATTATTATTGAAAGATTTAAAGGATCCCTTTACTGACTGCTTCGCAGTAAGTTAGTGATTTTAAAAACTGACACTTTTGTCATCTCAAAATGCCCTCCAATTAAGATGTTGTGAAGTTTTTATGCTTTGTCTTCTGATGACAAAGTCTTTTGTAATTACCTCCAGTTATACCTGATGAGTGAGGTATGAATAGAGAGGATGTTCCTGGTCCTGCAAGATAATATTCGTTAATTTCTTGCATGACTTCAAGTTTATATCTACTACAGTAGTAACAAGTTAATCAAGCGACACCCCACTCGTCCTACTCTGACAGCTTTTAGTACCCTTTGCATTGTAATGAGGTATTTCTCGAATAGTCCATGAAAGATGAATCTGGGGGAACAATAAAGAAGGGTGGGTGGGATACAAGAATTAAAAAACTGTAACAGTAGAGAATGAATGATGTCAGATTGCCTTAACTTCCTAATGTAGATGATCAGACGAAATATCTTTCTTGAAATTACTATGTTGTTGGAAGACCAAGGAAGATCAGAGGAAATACACACTCCAATGTATTTAACATCCAAAATGGTTTCAACTTCATTGTCTTCTACAATACAAGAATAATGGCAGCGAACTAATAGAATCGATGTAAATCGTTCTTGTATCTGAAATATGCAGATGACCTGTCTGTATCGTTTCCCATTAAGTCTCAGTCAGACTGTCTCAAATTAAGTAGCTTCCTGTTGGACATCAGTGAGTGGTCCAAACTTAATGGTCTCATGCTGAATCCCTCAAAATGCCAGACTATTGACTTCTCCCTTAGGCATAAACGAGATCTACAAACACTAGTAAGTTCTCATGAAGACTGTTGCATTGAGGGGACTAAAACTGAAACTAAGTCTAATGCTAAATACCTCGGTCTAGTTCTATCTTCCGACCTTACTTGGACATCTCATATCCCAATGATTTCTAAGAAAGTGTTCTGCCTAACCTACTACATTAAGAAACTTCGACAATCTGGAATCACCCAACCTCTACTATCACAATTTGTCAACTCTTTTATCTTACCTATTCTACTTTACTGCTCCCCGTTAGTCTTTCCTGGTCTATTGAAAAAGGACTATACCATCCTGAGAAGGATGTTGAAGGTAGTTAGTAGGACTAGTGGTGTAAATCTCAGTCAGCTCGTCACTACTTTAGTTGATAGGCATCTGAATACATGAGAGAAATGGTCAAAAACCATACTCTCCGACCCCCAACACCCCCTCTATTCCCAACTCTCTCCTTGTATCTCATCAAGTAAGACCAGAAATCAGTATAAAATAATCTATGCTCGTACAACCAAGTACAGGAACTCAACGATACCATACTTGGCCCGTGTTCTAAGTGACAGAGACAATGTTAAGCGTGAAACCTTTGACTTGCTTTGTTATTAGCAACATAATTTTAGGCTCTTTTATTTCTCTCTTATTTTGTATTCTTAAGTGAACTCCTTCTTCAAACATACTTAGCTACCTAAAATATTAACATTGGCTTCCTTTTTTGTACTTTACTATACTCCTTCTACTGTATATCCACTGGTTCCGACTCTATTAGCACTATGAGTATTACAAAATTGTCCTGTCATTAACCATCATGTAATATTAGTTTTGTGGTTGTTTTTTTTCTTACTTTCTATACATTTCGGCAATATTAAACTGACAATCATTGTTTGTGAACGCCATAGTCACCACCTTAAAAAATTTTGTATTATTCAGGATTACTCCCACTACCACCACAAACACTGCATTAGATTTTGGTAGACTTTGGTACATTTTCGCATTTATAATTATTTTGTGTTTATCCTGTTTTTTTTTTGTTTTTGCTGTTGGTGTCTTCAGATTTATTTTTTTGTTTGTTTAATACTTATTTTAAATGTCGGTAAAATTAGATGCAAATATTGTAGATATGTGCTGAAAATTCCACACTGTACCACTAGTACTGTTTCTGGAATAAAGCAAATTATTATTATTATTCAGTGCAATAAATAAATCGGCATTTGGAGGGATTCAGCTTAAGATCACTTGAAAAGGACCACTGACTAATTTCTGATAAACAGTTATTCATTTTGGAGTAGTTTGATTGAAAAGTAACCAGCATAGAAACAGTCAGGTTAGTGGCATACTTAACAAAATTGGCTTCTTCAGAATGGAGTAAGTCACTTAAGAAGTAAGGAAACAAAAAAGGAGAAAAAAACAGCATCCTGAGGAATACCGGCTAGAGCAAGTAAAGTAGCGGAAGACTTCCCAATACATACAGTGTACTGCTTCCCATTAGAAAAGCAACCATATTTTAAACACAATTCGTCTGCTGTTATGTATGAAAAAACAGCAGAAAGAGAATAAGTCGGCAAGTTATAACAAACTCTTCAGATCCTTGTGTGAACACGAGAATAACCTCAATCTGCATGATTACTGCAATACTCTAGTATAAAAGCCTAAGTAATGAGCAGTTAAAATATGTTAAAATTAACAGGTTACTAGATTAACACAAAGTTTTCGCTTGAATTTTTCGACTCAAAGACTTATAAGTCAACTTTAATCGTGACTTTTAAAATTAAGTTAGTCTCAAGTGACTGACATGTAAAATTAAGGCCTCATATAAGGGTGTATTAGTGCAGATGGCATACCACACATATCTTTTCGTGGGCAGCCTGATACTTCACCGTAGCACAGGACGATGCGAGTAGTTAAGTTTCAGCGAGTTCGTAGATATAATTCGATTGCTTCAGTAACAAAACTGTCATAAGTGTTGTCCATCTCAGGTAAGAGAGGCAATCTACACCCAGAATATTCTGCAGATGAACCGAATTTTAATATAGAAAAGTCTTAAAACTGAATTTTATTTTAGAAAAATGAGAAGAATATCTCCATAATAATTGCTGACAGCATTTCTAAAACGATGTGTCCCACTAGCATCGTCGCCTAACATGATTATTTTCTGAATGCCGTAAGTGATCTGTAGAATTTCTTTTCGTGTATAAAGCACTTAGTTTGCGTAGATCATCTCATCTGATGTGGATCACAGGAAAAAATGTCTAAGTAGGCACCTCTTTCTTGAATTTCAAGAAACATGAAGTAGACATCCCTGACAAATTCCACTTATTGTAGACACCCCATGGGTTATCTTACTATAATCTCTAATCGGACTTGGTGATGTGCTTATACGGCCTACGATAAAATAATGCGCTTCGCAGATATCCACTAAGTGGGAGTGATTATCATAAAAACGTTTTAATCAGACGGGACAAAACACCACATTCTCCTGAAGGAATACGGCATCGTGCACTTTTCCGTATATTTGCTTCATGGCTTCATCATAAATGAATACTTCATCGATACATTTTTATTCAGGCCTACAAACAGGCAAATCTTTCATAGTTGTTGTTCAGTATCTTTAGTTTGGAGTAGGGGTGTTATAGTCTCTGTAACTTAGGTGACTACACAAGTGAGAGTAGACTTCTAAACCATTATAACAAAAGTGGTTAAGTCTTTTTTTGAAGACTCAGTAAACCAATGATTTTTAACACTCAGTGATAATCAAATCGAATCTCTTAGCCTTAGCTAAAATCCCAGTCATTATTTAAAACTATGGCTAGACATATTTGGATGGCAATTCTAAAGCAATAAGCTAAAATAAAGATTACCGTAACAAGTTCAAAACATTATAGATTTATGGATTTTTACAATAACCCTCCGAAGACAATTTTCACTTACGAAAGGATACCGTATGTGTGTTATGACATGTATGTATGAAAAATCAGCAATTTTTAAGTTAATAACAAAAATATTTCTAAGTTTCTTAGTCTATTTATCTGGAATGGGTATTTGTGTATTTACGAATAAAATTAGTTCAAGAAGAGGCGAAAACCCTTGGGGTCTCTCACATTTTCCCCTGTCTGATACTTCAATCTCCGGAATTATGACTGATGACAGGTAAAACACTCAACTAAATTCGATAAATTACCTGGAATATTCCCTTAACTCAATAATTAGCTGACAAAGTTATACAAAATGATTAGTGTTGGTCTTACTGAAAGTTTTAGTAGTCAATTCAAAAAAAAAATAGGCAGAAATGAAATTGTTTGGAAAAATCACTTGAAGTAGACTACCTGCGGTGTGACTGAAAGTTCTGCCATTTTGTCAATATTTAAAAAACCACTAATAGGTTACTACAATTAACAAGGCCAGCTTTATAATTTCCAAGCAGATAAACAAATTTTCCAATATCCAATATCGTTTTATGAGCTAGTATAAACCAATTTGATTTCTTTGTGCTCGCCTCTTGATTGTGAGGTATAGGTTCCTGATCTTCGGTAAACTTCTGCGTGGCTCGTCCCGCCACTCAACTGTCACAGTTTTGGTTGACTCCAAAAGGAGTAGTGCTGGGATTAATTATATGTGGTTTGTTGTATGCGGTGTGTGTAGTAATAATAAGTGTAGTTAAAGTTGTCAGGAGGGAATGTAAAGAAGTAAAACGACGAACTTAGTTGTCTACCCCTGAATAGTGCATGGGATTTTAAGGGGATAGGCCATTTGGACACAGTCATTGTGTCGTTGCATGGTTGTCCAACCTTCGCCTAAAGGTGTTCACGGACGGTGTTATAGCTACATCTGCCAGTAAAGAACTCCAGGAATGGAAAACCCACAGTGAAAAGAAGTGGAAGAGCATTCGGGTCCTTCCCTCTGGTGAGGTATGCTTCTGGGATTTCCACGAGGGAGCCTATACCAACTCAATGACAGAACATCATTGTTTGGGTGATTCTGGTCATTTGTTATTTTGTAGGCAGTAACCAAATCCTCCTAAGACGACGGTAGCTAAGTGTGAATAGGCCTAATTTCTTCAGCATTTCATCATACGGTTTATTTCGGAGACCAGCTACTCCTTTTGTCACTCATCTTTGGATTCTTTCCAATAGGTTGGCGTCTTTGAAAAAAGAGTGAATTTTACAAGCTCTTGTTTAGTTTCGGCCTTTGTTGTGTTATACGCTTCAAAGGTCTACAGATTAACTTTAAATCAGTTTATTCTCGCTTCGAAGTTAGTTTACTTTTCAGATTTGAGTCTATTTAAATTATAGGAAGAAGTGTCTCATAACCTAATAGTTACATATGTATATAAATAAATAAATAAATTTATTCTCGTAGTACAGTACATGAGGGACGCCAGTTTACAAGTATCATCAAATTGTTACGGAAATAGAACCATATAATTCAATCACAATTTACAGGCAGTAGCAAGATATGCTTTATATGTTCGCTGGAGTTTATAGATACACTTGATAAATGTTTGTCCCAGTAGTATAAAACAGCCTTTTCACTTATATACAATCACTTCTGTGCACAGTTGGAAAAATCTGCTAGATCGTCAGTGAGTGCAACACGTCAGGAAATACAGAAGTATTGTCTTCGCATTAACAAAAAAACCAGGTCTTTGGTGGATGGATTATAAGTGCCTGGGAAAAAAAATAAAATAATAAAAATTTTCATACATAATTTCGTTGTGTGCAGAGTCCTCGAATTATAGTTCATTGATGTGTTATTTTGAAATCAGTGATGTGTTTATCTCATTTGATCTGCAATGTCATTGTTGGGAGTAAGTACATAAGCTTCAGACGCATTAATTAATGGATTTCTACTGCTTGTGGGTATTTTCTTAGCGTGAGGAAGGTTTATGAATTTCAGCTGTTCCGACAGGAGTTGAGAATATTAACTGCTCAGCAACATTATGGATATAAGTTCATCACATTATCTAAGGAAAGGTGGGTTGCAGTTGGTGAGGGATATATGGTGTCCAACGAGCGTTCATCTGTCCATGTGATGTTGTGGTAAGTTATACCTTTTTCATGTTGTCGGTTTATGTCCATTTTATTCCACTTATTGTGTTGGGTAGTAGTTTTACAAACGAGATTTCTTGTCTGTTTGAGGATACGTATCTTAACCGTTAATGTTTTATCTAGAATTATAAATATAGGCAAAAAACAACAGGTGTAGTATTTAAGCTTATACATTAAATGGACCTATAATTTCGGAGGCTCTCAGATAGGAACTAGAACTACTATCGTTTGCAAACTCTTGTAGTTTGTCATTAAGCACCATTTTGAAGGAGGCCAATGTACCTGCTTGACGCATTTCCATTGGTAGTTTATTCCATATCTGTGCATACCTAATCAAGTAACACTTTTGCCTGGTGGCTGTTCTACATTGTTCGATGGCTACTGTGCCCTTAGTGTGTCTAAGTTTGTAGCCTTTGTCATCTGAAAGTCGAGTGCCATTAATAATAATAATGTATTTCATATAAATTTACAAATTTACATGAAAATGCATGCCATTTTTACAGGCACGATCAAGTATGATATAATATCAAATCGTAGACTGTCTACAAGTTAATCGTATTTCAACTGTTAAATATTCGATACATATAATACACTCATTTTCTGAATTAGGCCGTATAGTTATTGAATTGTACAGTTGTCCTCCAGGTTGAGCGGGAAAATCGACTTCGTTCCGTTTTCATCCCGTGGTTGTAGGCATACGATAACCAACCAATATTGAGGTAAGTACACCTTTTACAAGGGATTGGAATCTGTTTTAGAAAAATTAAAGTGCTGAGGTGAATCATTAAATTGTAATGAAATAGGTAAGTGCAAGTATCATTAATAAATGCATTAATAAAGGAAACACCCTAGGGTAACAACATTCATTTGCAATGTATAATGCTACAGATATATCACAAACTATCATGATATCCACTTTTGGTTTTAATACAATTATCCTCATGCCAGTTGTTTTTATTTCATACCTTTTTGTGCATTTAGTGCACAACCGTACCCTTGAGAGAGTAGGAGTATAATAAGTAATGAAGAGCTATAAGATGTTAAGTTTAATGGAGTAAAATGAGGATCAAGTAAAGACGTTGTCAGAAAATAAATGAGATAAGACATTGTGGAGTGGTATGAAAAGATTTGACGATAGACAGCAAGTTAATTTATAAGATGCCCCATAAATCTGAGCAGATCCCACATGGTCGCATCTCAACAATAGGCTGGGTGAATGGTATATATTTAAAGGTAGAAGCATGATCTGTCAAGGCGTTCATTGTTATCTTTTTCAAGATAAAGATTTAAGCCCTCATAAAAATCAGAAATATCTCGAGCCTTCAAATTTTTTAATGCTGTTCCTGCAGAATGGGGCGATTCACCTTAGTGACCGCCACCATATCTACTGATCAGCTAACTCCACCCTCCCACCTTAGTAGAGGTAAAAACTAAGTGGTTTAGAAGCTTATAGTAAAGTGTCAAGTTTAGTCTCGGGCGTCTTAGCCATAGTGTTTCTAGTCCTAGGGTATCACATCTAGTGGAGTAGTTCGCACAATTTTCGGTTCCGAGTAATTTTGACGTGAAGTACCTCTGCACTCCCTCGACTTTCAATTTGTCCTCTATGTATATATATATATATTCCTGTTTATGCAGGAACATACCAATTGTACAGGCATGGATAAGTTATTATATAAATTACAGTTTGTTTGTTCAATCTAACATTAGAGTCAGTCAGAACAGTCTGCAAAATAGTCTGTCTGTGTAACACATAAAGAGATATAGAAATATTGTCTTCGCATTAACAAAAAACCCAGACTTCAGATGAATGTGATACAAATATCTGGGAAAAATAAAGCTTGACGTCAATTCTCCTATATAACTTTGTCGTGAACAGCATCTAGGAGTTGACGTGATGTTATCGGTGATGTATTGAAAGGTCTATAGTTGCATGCACTGGTTTTGGCCCCTGCTTTGTGCTTAGGTAATATGTATGTGGTTTTCCACACTTCAGGATAAGTCCCAGTTTCCAACGAGAGAGTAAATATTCTAAGTAACAAGACTACTATTTGCGTGGTACCGTTTTTGTATATGACAGATGGTATGTCGTCTGTTTCAGTACTACCATTAGACTTCGATGTCTTAATCGCTGAGTCTATATTTTGTATATTAAAGTCTATTTCGCCTAATTTGTGGTTACTTTTGCAGGTCATTTGGAAATTTTGGGTCGGGTGCACTCTGGAGTCTTGCAAAACCACTCACTGAGGAGTTCGCTTATAACCTTGGGATCATTGTATATTATACCCTTATGTTCCAAGCTGCTTACAGTTTTGTCTTTACTGCTTTTTATACGTTTCTGCAATATCCTACAAAGTTCCTGAGTTTTGGAGTTACCCACAAGCGCTTTATTTTTTTCAAGTTTTGACCTCATTTTGTGTTTATCTTCAAGCAGTTTAAGAGTTTCATGTATTTGGTTTAACGCATTAAATTCCTTAAACACATGGTATTTCCTTTCCAATTTCTTTAGTTTTATCCGCGTTTTGCGGTCTATAAATGGAGTTAGTGTCTTTAGAGCAGATTTTAGGGGTGTGGTTGTGTCTCTTGCTGAGCCAATTGTTTTGTTGAAAATATCAAGTGATGCTTCTAAGTTATTGTTGATGAAGTATTCTTCCCAGTCAGAATTTCTCAACAGATCTGATAGGAATTCCCAATCGGCATTCTTATAGTCCCTATGTTGATAGTGCACCGGGGAATTTTTAGGCGTGTGTTTAGTTGTTAGTCGGAGGGGTAGCGTGCAGTACAATATGTTGTGATCACTGTTATCAAGTTTATTTCCTACCTCTATCGAGATGGGCTCTATTTCATGACAGAGGATTAAGTCAAGAGTATTTTTGTTTCTTGTAGGGAGGCGTACGCACTGCTTCCATCCGCCTATGTCTATAGCTTGTAGTAGCTCGTCATGGATTCTAGGTCCTGTACAGGTATCCCAGTTTACTCCAGGTAAGTTGAAATCGCCACAGACTACTTTGTAGTCAAAGTCCAGCGTAGCTACATGCTCTAGTATTTCTCCAATAGTTATATCAGTCATTTCAGAGCTATTAGGGGGTCTGTATATACATCCCACGAGAATTTTATTTTCGTTTGTGTGGATGCTTATCCACTTAGATTCAGGGAGTTTGTCAGTATTTGGGTTATTGAAAGTATTGGAGCTAGTGGATTTAGAGGTATATATTAAGCAGCCGCCTCCTCTTTTGTCAACTCTATCGTTCCTATAGATGTCGTAGTTGTCTATTACTGGCTTTGAGTCAGGTATATCAGTGGTAAGCCAGG